ATTGAACCATTGATTACTACCTGTTGAGCCTTCCAATCCAGCCAGCTTTCTATCCACCATACAGTCCATTCATTCAACCCATACTTCCTCAGCTTGCTTGCAAGAATGCTGTGGGAGATGGTATCAAAAGCCTTGCTAAAGTCAAGGTATGTTACGCCCACTGCTTTCCCCGCATCCACAGAGCCAGTTATCTCATCACAGACAGCAACCAAGTAAGTTTGGCATGACTTGCCCTTGGTGAATCCATGCTGACTGTTCCTAATCACCTTCTTCTCCTCCAAGAGCTTAGAAATGGATTATTTGAGGACCTGCTCCATGATTTTTCCAGGGACTGAGGTGAGGCCGACTGGTAGGTCCCTGGAATCTCCTTCTTCCCTTTCTTAAAGATGGGCACTATATTTGCTCTTTTCCAGTCATCCAGGACCTCCTCCAATTGCTATGAATTTTCAAAGAAACAGCCAGTGGCTCTCCAATCACATCAGTCAACATCCTCAGCACCCTTGGATGCATTGCATCTGGTCCCATGGAATTGTACCCATCCAGCTTTTCCAAACAGTCCCTAACCTCTTCTTTCACCACTGAAGGGCTGCTCACCTTCTCCCCAGACTGTGCTGCCCTACATGGGCTCCTACATTCAATCTTTTTGGGCCCCTCTACACGTGTAGGTAATGGCGTAATGGGATCTAATGTGCAGTCCACATAATTGCACCACCTGCCATGCCACACATGCATGGCAGAAGGCATGACTGTAGGATTGCACATTAGATCCCATGCTGCCTTATTGCTGGTACAGGGGGAGCCCAATCCCGATCCCTCCCCCTGCACTTGCAAAAATCAAGCCTTCAGCTGAGGGGCTTCCAGATGTGGGGGTGCCCTGCACACGCCTGTGGCTGGGAGATTGCAGCTGCCATGGTCTCCCAGCCTCAGGGATTTCACACACCCCTGGGCCTGGGAGATTGCAGCCACACCCTTGGCTGCCAAGTCCTAGCTGGGTCCCAGCACCGGGAGGCACACGGTGGGGAACCAGCATTCACAGCCAGAGGTGACCCAAGCAGGGTGTGGGGCCCCATCCCCAGACATGAGGAAGCTGGCGGCAGATTCAGTGGTGGAGGGTGGGGGGTGCCAAGCGGCTGAATGTGAAGCTGGCAGCAGTGCAGCTCTGCACGGCCCGGGGTGGTTGCCCCATTTTGCCCCCTCCCCCTCCCCCCAGGGATGGCCCTGTTCACAGCTGTAGGACTCAGGGTCCTGGAAGTTGCAGGGTGCTGCCAGGACCCAGAGTTGGCAGCTGTTGTTGGGGCTGAGAGTCCCTTCAGTTGCAGAACTTTCAGCCCCGGCTGGGCATAATGCACCACTGTGGCTGAGAGCCCTGCCACCTAATGGGACTCCCAGCCACAGGGAAGACCCTGTTAAACATGCAAATTAAAACTCAGTAGCAACCAGCTATAAAGTTAGTCCACATTTTTGAGGTATAACTTTATAGCAGGTTGGAGCTTTTTATGGTGTGATAGGTACTCTGTATGTGTAGCTGGTCTATAGGTAATTGTACAATTAACCAGTTAATTGCACGATAACTGTAATGTTACAGAGGGCTTCTCAGTCAATCCAGATAAAGTATGCTTAGTTTAAAAGTAAAACAGGCAATATTTCCTAACAGACCTACAAGCTTCTCTTGTGATCTGATAATTCAACTGGGCTTTTTCCAAGATGGACACTACAAAGATTAATAATTCTGCAACAAGAATTTAGCCGACAGTTCTTTCCTAATAGAAGTAATAGAATCCAACTCAGTCTCCCACTGTTGTATTAGCAGGAATAAAAGATACTGGTAGCTAGAATAGTACTTTTGGTAAAGTAGTACTATTTTTATAAAATACATTTATCTGATTGTAAGAGAGAGAGAAAGAGAGAATACAATCATAATATGTTTCTGTTAGCTGTTGTAGTGAATTTGATGATTTTAGGTTTTCCTTTGCACTAAAACCATTATTAGACACCCAAAATAAGACCTGTCAGGCTGCGCTCCCTGTTTAGCTGGTGGGTAGCAGGGCAGGCGGGAACACCAGAGCACCAGTGCCCCCCTGTGAGAGCCGGCTGGGGAGCGGGGCTGCCAGCAAAAGTGGCTGCAGTCAGCGGGATTGGTCACTGGGGGACCCTGCCCTGGTCGCTGACTGGTGTCGGGGAGGGAGGGGGGCACGTGCCTCCCCTGACTCAAGAGGCACCAGACACCCATGCAACCCAAACAAACCTTTTGTATACATTCATAATTAAAATCAAAGGTCTACCTGAACATAGATAGCCAATTTGACTAGTGTACTTAAGACATGCCAGTTCCTATAAATATCACCACATACAAGGGAGTTTTATGGCTAGCATCATTTCACCCACCTTTGACGCACCTGCCAAAATGATCATATGCCCATTTATAGTTGGAGCATTCTTCAGCAAAAGCCCAGAGTAGGGCTCAAATTCATACCTCTGGAGCCACAGTGAGAGACCAAAACTGCTATGTCACTGCACCCTTCAGGAAATCATAACACTAATGTACAAAAGAGGAAGGAAACATACAGACCTTCCACTCCCCACCTTCTAATTAATTTCTTTCTGATGTGTCAACTAGTTAAATTGAGGGGAAAACACTCACTTACATGGACAGTAGGGCTGTGCGAAGCTTCAGTCGCTGATTCGATTCAGTGGAGATTCGACCCAATTTGGAAGCCGAATCTAATCCAAATTGAATGAGGAGACCCTTTAATTTCTCCAAAATGAATCGGAACCCTCCAAATTGATTCAGAGAGATTCGGAAAGATTAGATGATTTGGACATAGACACAGCTTTAAATGTTTTTTCTACATACCTCAAGGTACCAGGGGGCTCGTGAATGCTGAGATGCTGGGGTGGATGGGGCATCCCACGGGAGTATGCGGGGGGTCTCTAGGATGATTGGCAGTGGACCCAGAAGTGGACCAGAAGAACTTTTGGTCCACTTCTGGGTCCGCCAGGGAGCACACTGGGGGCCCCCCACACACCCTCTGGCTTGGCAACTGGGGCCTCCTTGGCCTGGGGGGGGACCCAGGGTCCCCCTGTGGCTGATGACTGAGCCAGGAGGTGCAGGGGGGTCCCCCGTGCGCTCAGTGGTGGACCCATAAGTGGACCAGAAGTACTTCTGGTCCACTTCCTGGTTTGCTGCCGAGTACGCGGGGGACCCCCCCACACTCCTTTGGGACACTCCATCCACCCCAGCATCGTAGCATTCATGAGCCATGCCTGGTACCTTGAGGTATGTAGAAAAAACACTTAAAGCTGTGTCTATGGCCGAATCACTGATTGTCTGAATTAGCACCGAATCTTCAGATTCGGATTTGGCCAAATTGAATCAGGACAGTGATACAAATCAATGAATCAAATCACTGTCCCCAATTTGGGCTGATCTGAATCAAATACGGCCCATTTCGCACACCCTTAATGGACAGCTTTAACTTATAAGGATACTTATTTCATTTATGGAATGACAGAGTTCTTGTTTGTCAAGACTGCCTAAGAGATTCTGAGTCTTGCCAAAGAATGATTCACTTATCCCAAAGTGCTTTAAAGATAATTCATTACATCCCACTATGCTCTCTATGATAAACTAATAAAATACTCATACCAGAAGTCAATTAATTTAGGCAGAGAAGTGAAGTGATTTGCCTAAGGCCACTCAACTAATCAGATGGAGAGCAAGCAACAGAACCCAGGAATCCTGAATACCATTCTTCTGTTTGACCATATGACCAACTTCCCATGTTGCTCAGACGCAGACCAAATAGTACATTTATTTTATATCAGTTTTGGACTGAGAGTGGTTTACTTAAAAGAGGGACACTGTACATACCTAAGTATAATGTGTATGTAACTGTCTAATTGCTGCTTTTAGCACTTACCTACAGTTTGCAATTCAGCCAGTAGTGTGTCTACACAAGACACTAAATGCGCAGTAGACTAATTCTACTGTGTATTAGCGTGTCAGGGCAAAAGCCATGCTAATGCACTGATGTGCAGTAGAATTAGCACCTAAAAAGATGTGTGCTGGTGCTACTGCACAGTAGTGTCAGTTACTGCACACTGAGTTAGTACCTGTTATTACAGGTACTAAACTTAATGCATGTAACTACAGAGCATTAATGCACATGTAGAAGTGCCTAGCATTGCCTGTGCTAACCTACTAAGCATGCACAGTAGGATTATGATTGGGCAGCTGTGTGAGAAAACAGAATCACCCAGGTATACATATAAGGCTTGATAAGCCCCAAAACTTTAGTCACAGAAAAACTATAACTACTGGGTGTTAGATGCTGGAAAAGGAGGAGGGTCCTCTGACCTTTTAGCTCAGAGGGTCAAGTGGTTAAAGCACTTTCCAAGGGAGCAAAAGAACCACATTTTAATTCCCTTCCCTCCCCCTGCAGCCCAAGGTGTTTTGAGCCTGTATCTCCTGGTTCCCAGAAAAGCAGTCTAATCCCCAGGTGATGGGCAGGGCATTGACCAAGCCTCTCTCCAGCTTTGTTTGGTATCCAGTTTTATTTTTCCTTCTTTAGCTCAGCTTTTCTTAACCTTCCTCCCCCCAAAATCATTATATTATTCTGAAGAATTTCCATTTTTGTGTGTTAATTCTTCTGTGACATTTGTATGTGCACTATGGCAAAGTCTCTATCATTTTTAGTAGTATAATAACTTAAATAGCATAGACTGAAATGAGAACTAAGAAAATACCCATTAACATATAGACACTAACTGCTATTTTAGAAAGGTAAAGGCTATTTATATTTTTCCTTTCTTTCCCTTTTCTTTTTGTCTCAAAATCCACTGACCTATTTTTTTCCATTCCTGC